GTAAATTATTGATGGGATTGCTCGGGGGCTGCTGTATCTCCACCAAGATTCTACACTAAGAATCATACATAGAGATCTCAAGACAAGCAATATTCTTCTTGATATTGATATGATCCCAAAGATATCAGATTTTGGTTTAGCCAGATCATTTATGGGAGATCAAGCCGAGGCTAATACAAATAGAGTGATGGGAACATAGTAATTTCAATTTATATTTTCAGACATTAATATTTTAGGGACCTGCTACTAGAAAACTTTGTGACTAATATATTTTCCCAACTTCGTTGTTTTTTCTTGCAGTGGATATATGCCTCCAGAATATGCAGTGCGTGGATCTTTTTCAATAAAATCGGATGTTTTTAGCTTTGGAGTTGTTGTACTTGAGATAATTAGCGGTAAGAAGAATAGCAGATTTTGTGACCCTCAACATCATTTAAACCTTCTTGGGCATGTAAGTTTGAAGTGTGTATTGTATGTTTCTCTATCCTGTGAATTATAGCTGCTTACCCTTGCTGTAACTTTGTTTTTGTTTTAGGCATGGAGACTATGGATTGAAGATAGGCCACTGGAGTTGATGGATGAAATATTATATGATGCAGCCATATGTTCAGAAATAATAAAATGTATTCACGTGGCTCTATTGTGTGTACAAGAGAAACCAGAAAATAGGCCTAACATGTCGTCTGTGGTTTTTATGTTAAAGGGTGGAAAGTTTCTCCCCAAACCAAGTAAACCCGAGTTCTATGCAGGAAGAGATAATACTAGCACATAATCTTCTTCAAAGGAGGGTTCAATAAATGAAGCTTCAATCTCATTGTTAGATGCTAGATAGAATGCCATTGTGCTTGACACTGACATGGCTGAAATACTGTTAATATGTGTCCTTATCTCAATGATGCAGTAAATTCACTGTTGGAGTAAGAATGAACATGTTTATATTTGTGTTCATATTTTGCTGGAAGCTTCTCTTTTCCTCGGTCAAAATTCAGAAGTGTCTCTGACCTTTGCATGCAGTTTGTTTTCTGGTTCTTATGACCCTCCTGCATGTTTTCCGGTAGGTTATGTATTCAAGTATTTTCAACGGTCGAGATTTTGCCGACATATTTGGAGGGTTCTGATTGCACCGACACATTTGTGTGGTCTAGAATATGCATCACCATTTTTATAAATAGGGGTTTCAAGTTATAGGGTAAGACATCTCAAAAAATGTCTCTTCTCGAGTATCTGATTAATGCAGAAGTGTATTACAACAGATACAACTCTGCTGGTGAATTCAAGATTCCAGATGGCTCCGAATCTCTTGCCATCTTGAAAGAAACGTTGAATGGTTTGCTGTCTGATTCCGATAACAGAAGGGTGACAAAGGTCGAGTTTCAAGATGATTGGATTGATACAAATGGAAAAATGAAATACAATCTAATCGAGTTGAAGAATGATGCAGATGTGAAGGCCATGTAGAAATCATTTCGCCGTAGGATAACTAAAGGTCTGATCGAGTTGGATGCGGAGGTCCAAAGATCCGTCGACGATATAATGAAGATGCTGAAACGTCCAGAGTCATCTGGTAGTGCCTACATCTGATGTTTACAACAGGGAGGCCTCCAATAGGGAGGCGTCCAACATGGTCAAGGAGGATTCAGTAAACTCCAGGAGATAATCTCTAATGATACTCCTGACCTCCTCGGGCATCAGACTCCCAGTAAAGTTCTTCAACTTTGAACCATGAGAAGCGACCTTCAGCACCAGACGCTCTTGTAAGAAGCAAAAATAGAATATTATACATCAAATCTTGTAAGTATCTTGTAAGCAAAAACAAAAATTATGCAATTTAAGAAAACCAAATATATACATCGCCATGTCATATCCTGTAGGCACAAACATGTCTGAAGGTCCTCTAGAAAATGCTCCATATGTGTGTACTGATGACTCCGTAGACGCACTAGTCGTGGTGTTCGTATCAGTGGGGGACACATCGTCAACGCGCTCAGCCACAACCTGCTGCTCCACAACCTGCTTAACCTCCGGCTCCACAACAGGAACAAGAACATGTACTTCCTCAATAACATCCGCAACTACCGGCTCCACAACAGGAACATGTACCTCTGTAGGAGCTGGCTCCACAATATGCTCCGCAGTTGGCTCCTCAACAGTGAAAACTCTCAATCCCCGATGGCGGAGTGCACGGAACTGAGCCTGCTGCTCAGCCATCCGTTTTCGATGAGAACTGGTCAGAAGACATCGGCCAACCCGTAGCTCGGAAGCCTGTGCCTCATCAGCCCCGACCTGAGCTTCTACTCTATCAGTCTGTCTGCCTGCAACGGTACCGTCTTTGCCACTGGTCCTCACTGCAAAATAAGAAAAAATTAGGAAAATATGAATTATTGGAAATTTCAAAATTTCTGGAATTTTTCAAAAAAAATTGAACTATTGGAAATTTCAAAATTTCCGGTATCTTGTAAAGTCCCGGGAACATTGAAATTTCCGGTACAAAAGGAAAATGTTTACATCGGAAATTTCAAAATTTTCGGTATGAAAATACCGGAATTTTTGCAAATTCTGGTACAAAATATCGGATATTATGCAAATATACCAGAAATTATTTATTGCCTCACTAAATTTCCGATGTCGTCTCGAAATTTTCGATATCGCCACAAAAATTTGAAAATTTCCAATTGATTACAGAAATTTTGAATTTCTAAAAAATATTTGAGTCAGAATAATTTGACATTTTTATATCATTTGGAGGATACCATATATAAAAGGAGTACATGTTAATTCCTCATTTAAGCCTATCTTTTTTTTTTCTTTTTCCAAAATTTCCCTCATAAAAAATAGAGTAAATTACATTCATTTTACTCAAAAGATGCTTGAATGACATTTCCCTCCTTTAAAGTTAAAACACACACTTTCTTCCAAGTAAAAATGCCAAGTCAACTTTATTTCCTACTCTAAGATGTTTGAATTTGAATTACACTATTCTTCCTTAATAATAAAAAATATACTATTTTATTTCATTTTAACATAAATAAATGTTTTGGATGTCGAGGGGATTTCCAATAGACAATTTCCGACTTCGAAAATATTTATTATGTTAAAATGAAATAAAATAGTAAATATAGTATTGGATTCGGATAACCGATTATTTAAATTATTCATATTTTTATTTAAATTTGATTATTACAAATCCGTTAATTATTAGTATGGTTTTAAACAAAATTCATATTTTAGATATTTTATTAATATGATTTTAATCAAATTTATTTTTTGGATATTCATATTCAAAATAATTAATTTCTTATAAAATAAATTAAAAAAATAATTTAAAATGAAGTTTTACTTTTGAAAATTTAAAAAACGATTTTTAAATTTTTTTTGAAAATAAATTATTTATTGGAAAATAATAAAAAACGTATTTTTTATTAAATAAATTATGGAAAAAATGATTTTTTTATGAATTTTTTTTGTAAAAATAAAAAACTTTTTAATCTCTCTCTCTCTCTCTCAATATTATATTATACCAACGTTGCACTTTAAAATTGATCATAGATGATCTAGCAATACTTTGGCCTTTACGCAGAGTTTCTTCAGAAATCCATTTCATGAAAGTTTTTTATCAGCAACATTTTGGCCATCCCCATACTAAAAAAAAAATCAACCATGCAGTTGGATGAAGAAATACAAGAGGCATTGTTTGAATTAATATAGTAAATTTAAAGCTGAAATATATGATTGGCTAAATGGGAATTAGATTTAGCGCTTACAATTATATTAGCAAAAGTTAGATGAGTGATTTTTTCAAATCAAATATATATTTCATTGTTTTAGTTATTTAAGAACAATTAAGTAGAATCTATTATTTAATCATCTTACTGATGAAGTTTCTCAATATATATAAATAAAATCTATTTTAAAAATTGAATTTTTATATCCAAAATCAATATTGAGCTAAAAAATCATTAGTAAAAAAATAATATTTAATTTTAAAAACTGGATATTTAAGTTTAAAACTGGTTTTGAACTTTAAAACTGGATATAAATTCTATAATCGATTATAAAATTTGTTTTATAACCGGTATGTAAAAATATAACTTTTTATATGAATTGATTATAATATCTGATTATAATAAATGATTATAAATTAAATATAAATTGATTATGTTAATAATCTGATCATGAGTATCTCTAGTTGCGGACCTCTGCGGACCTTTTTTAAAACATGCTTTGTATTGTATATATTTTAATAAATGCTTTGATGACATATGGACATGACCTCCCATTCCTTTCCTTTTCATCTTCCATGTTACGTAAAAGGCTAGAAAGTCTTCACTTGAAAATGAATTAATTAATATTTGGTCAACATACGAAGCTTCAATTTTAGTAGACTATGCTTGTTCATTTTGTTTGAAATTTGTATCAACTAGCTAGCACATGGGAAGACTTGGAGGACTAAGCCTTGTTAATTGATTTAGAATTTGATATAATGAAAATGATCATGAGAAACCAACACAAACACAATGGAGTACCATAATAAGGTGCTAATGATATGTACTTTCTTCTTTTTCTCCATGCCCATTTTCTCTAAACAGAGCGCATTTACTACTATTGCTCCAAACCAGTTTATCCAATATAGTGATACACTTGTTTCTGCAGCTCGAACCTTTGAAGCAGGATTTTTCAACTTTGGAGATCCACAACGCCAATACTTTGGTATATGGTACAAAAACTTATCACCTACGACTATTGTGTGGGTTGCCAATAGAGACACCCCTGTACAAAACTCTACAGGATTGCTGAAACTCAATGATCAGGGAAATCTTGTTATTCTTGATGGCTCGAAAGGCCTTGTGTGGTCCTCCAATTCATCGAGAATTGTGATGAAACCAGTTCTTGTATTGTTGGATTCTGGAAACCTTGTTGTGAAAGATGCAAACAGCAACAGTGAGAATGAGGATTTGTTTTGGGAAAGTTTTGATTATCCCGGTAACACTTTCCTTCCTGGAATGAAGCTGAAAAGTAATTTAGTTACTGGCCCATCTAGATATCTCACATCTTGGAGAAGCCCTGAAGATCCTGCTGAAGGCGAGTTTACAAAAACGATAGATATACATGGTTTACCTCAATTGGTTAATTCAAAGGGAGCAAGATTTCTATATAGAGCAGGCTCGTGGAATGGATTTCTTTTCAATGGTGTTTCTTGGCAAAGAATGCATAGAATCTTGAATTTCTCAATAGTGTTCACTGACAAAGAATTCTCTTATCAATATGAAACTATGAGCAATTCAATTATTACAAGATTGGTGCTAGATCCATACGGAAATTCACAGCGTTTTCTTTGGTCAAATAAGTCACAAATTTGGGAGGCTATAGCTAGTGATCCTATAGACCAATGTGATAATTATGCCTTGTGTGGTATCAACTCTAACTGCAATATTAATGACTTTCCAGTATGTGAATGCTTGGAAGGTTTCATACAATTTCGACCGAATTGGGAGTCATCAAACTGGTCTGATGGGTGTGTAAGGAAAACACATTTAAACTGTCTCCGTGGAGATGGATTTTTGAAATACACGAACATGAAGTTGCCAGATACGTCATCATCGTGGTTTGACAAGAGCATGAGCCTTGAGGAATGCAACACTGCGTGTTTGAAAAACTGTTCTTGCACTGCATATGCAAATTTGGATATAAGATATGGTGGTAGTGGCTGCATACTTTGGTTTGACAACATTGTGGACATGAGAATACATCCAGACCAAGGACAAGACATTTACATACGACTCGCATCTTCAGAGTTTGGTATTTTCATTTCCTCTTACAACTTTTTACTTTTCAGTTTTATATATAGAAAAAATACTTTTCCTTATCAGTTTTAAGTAAGCTTATAAGCCTTTGCTTTAACTGACATTTACTTCAACCATCAGACCATAAAAAGAAAAAGAGGAACTTGAAGCGTGCTGGAACTCTTGCAGGAGTTATTGCATTCATTATAGGACTTACCTTTATTATATTGGTCACATTAACGTCTAGAAAGAAGCTTGGTAAGCCAGGTGAAAATTTATGATAAGTGTTAGTTCTAACTAACGATAAATTCTGAAGTTTGATTGCTAAGTTAGCATTAAACCTCTTTAATTCTTACTTCAGGAAGTATAAAAAATTTATTTCACAAGAAGGGGAAGGAAGATGGTGACTTGAAAACATTATTTGATTTTTCAACCATCGATAATGCAACAAACCACTTCTCTAGCATAAACAAGTTAGGAGAAGGTGGTTTTGGGCCGGTGTACAAGGTAAGGTCTTTGTTACCAAGTTAATTTATCACCCCATTTCAACAAGTTAGTACTAAAATTTCCAAAAATATTAATAGGGCATCATGGTAGATGGCCAAGAGATTGCTGTTAAGAGGCTATCTAAAACATCAGTTCAAGGAATTAAGGAGTTCAAAAATGAAGTACAGTTGATGGCAACACTTCAACACCGCAATCTTGTAAAGCTTCTTGGTTGTTCTATTCAACAAGATGAAAAGTTATTGATCTACGAATTCATGCCCAACAGAAGCTTGGATCACTTTATTTTTGGTTTGAATTTTCACACCAGCCAAATTTTTTGCTCTCAGTTATTCTCTTGCTATAATGTAGTTCTTATGCTAACTTAAGAATTTGTCATTTGTTAGATTCTACGCAAAGTAAATTAATAGGTTGGACCAAGCGTTTGGAAATTATTGATGGGATTGCTCGGGGGCTGCTGTATCTCCACCAAGATTCTACACTAAGAATCATACATAGAGATCTCAAGACAAGCAATATTCTTCTTGATATTGACATGATTCCAAAGATATCGGATTTTGGTTTAGCCAGATCATTTATGGGAGACCAAGCCGAGGCTAAAACAAATAGAGTGATGGGAACATAGTAATTTCAATTTACTTTGTGACTAGTATTGTATATTTTAACCTCCAGTTCTGCTATGTCACAACCTATTTTAATATATTTTTTCTAACTTCATTGTTTTTTCTTGCAGTGGATATATGCCTCCAGAATATGCAGTGCGTGGATCTTTCTCAATAAAATCTGATGTTTTTAGTTTTGGAGTTGTTGTACTTGAGATAATTAGCGGTAAGAAGAATAGCAGATTTTGTGACTCTCGACATCATTTAAACCTTCTTGGACATGTAAGTATTGTATGTTTCTCTATCCTGTGAATTATAGCTGCTTTCCATATCCTTTTTTGCCTCAATAAATCCTCAGGAAGGTAAGAAATTCCAAATGGATACTAATTCACATCAGGAAGAATAGTTGAAAGTAATATGATAGGAACCAACTGATATAGAATAAGAAATGGGGAAAATCCCTTTGAATTACACTCCACTAACCACTCTTAATAAAATAATAATTGCTATTTAAAAACATAATTGCTAACTTATATGAGAAGTCTAACAATACTCTGCCCCTAAAAGTTCACCTTGTCCTCAAGGTGGAAGAATGTATCCTCCCAGATTCTATAGCTTGAAGTAGAGAGACAGAGCAAGGCGTGAAACATGATAACTAATGTCTGGATCATACACACTGTTTTGGGTGGTATGTTTGACCCAAAATGTAGCATGACAACAGTAGGCATTAACAATGGTTGGATCAAATCAGAGGAAAATCCACCCTTCACCAAGGACAAGGACCTGGCAGCTTAAGCAAATGTGGAGGTAGGCTGTCCAACTTTAGAGAAGTCCATCTCTCTGTGGTAGTTGTTCTAACCAGTCTCACCCTCGATTCAACACAATACTCACACCTTGTCCATCAAATTGTTTGCCAATACCAAGAAATTTGCGAGAATCTGCCTTTGTCTCTTGTCGCTGTTCCACAATGACATTCACGTTGAAATCTTCCGCATCTCTTTCTACTTTTGCAGTTTACACCTCTTCCTTGTTTTTCTCTTCTGCTGTCTGAATGAGATCAGAATTTCCTTAGGCAGTTTCTTCTTGTTGAAAGTTAAATGCGCGAGCATGGTCGACTCTATTTCCAATTCAAGTTCTTCTTCTTCATCGGATATAGGTAGAATGTCTCAATACTCTGGCTTAAAATGCCAAAGTAGTGCAACATGAAACGTTCGCCAACTAGCTTGTAGATGGCGTTGACTCCACCAGTGCCACCATACGAGAGCACGGTTTCTCAAGGCTTTCACCGCCTCTGGAAAATTCTCACTGTCAGGTGTTCCCACTACATCAAAATGCTTCTCAATACAAATCAGCCACAAATAGGCATCACTGCTGCTGTCAAACTGTAACATGTCCATTTTCTCCTGCGGTGAATTTCTTACTCCGGATCAGAACTGTTCTGATACCGGTTGATAGAAACCAATTGATATAGAATAAGAAATAGGGAAAATCCCTTTGAATTACAAAATGATACCGCAGAACTTCGACGGTATGCGCCTTCCTAATGCCTAATTGGCCCTTTTTTCTATCCAAATCCAAGATGATTGACTCTTCCCCTATTTATTCTAAACCTAAACACACATAAACAAACCTCCACTAACCACTCTTAATAGTCATAAATAACTCTCCACTAACCACTCTTAATAATATAATAATTGCTATTTAAAAACATAATTGGTAAGTCATATGAGAAGTCTAACATAATACTCCACATATACCTTCACAAAAATAAATATATTTCTATAAAAAAATATAAGTAAATCAAAATCCACTTTTCAGTGTTGGTTACAACAAAAGGATTGAAGAACTTAATTTTTTTGGATCAATTATCATTACATCCGTTGAAAATTTAGGCTTGAGCTTACCCTTGGTGTAACTTTGATGTGATTTTAGGCATGGAAACTATGGATTGAAGAAAGGCCACAGGAGTTGATAGCTGATATATTATATGATGAGGCCATATGTTCAGAAATAATAAGATTTATTCATGTGGGTTTATTGTGTGTACAACAGAAACCAGAAAATAGGCCTAACATGTCATCTGTGGTTTATATGTTAAAGGGTGAAAAGTCACTCCCCAAACCAAGTGAACCCGGGTTTTATGCAGGAAAAGATAATACAAATAACACAGGCTCTTCTTCACAGGTACTTTCAATAAACGAAGGTTCGATCTCATTGTTAGAGGGCCGGTAGAATGCTGCCACTGTGACACTTACACGGGTTCTATGCATAGAATACTAGTGCAGCGTATATGTATAATTTTATGTTAGTCTGATTCTAGATGAATTCCTATAGTAAAAAGCAAAGTTCAAACACTTGTTTGAAAGGAGATTCCATTTGCATCTGATATTATAAATAAATTATTGTTGCAATGTAATAGAATTTTAAAGGAAAATTTGAAAACTTACATGGGCTACTGGCTTACTCCAAATTGAACATTACCATTACCATTTCTGTCTAAAATCTCCTTTTTCTAGTTTATGGAATGTGATTATTTATATGGAACCATACAGTTGTTGCACTTTAGATTTCTGTTGTTGTCTGAGTGACAAACCTAGACTTACATTGAAATAGTAAGCTACACTGATATAACCACATTACACACACATATAAGCATCTCATATGATTTCCTTAAATTTGTTTTGGGTTGGCTAAAATAATCTCATATTATTCGGTATCGAGACAAGGGATAGTTTATATACAACACTCATAAATCTCAACTCAACGGAGAGCTCTTTTCAAAGGACAGAGTCGCAAGAGTTCTCTCACCTAAAGTAGACAACACCCCTTAGCTATATTGACACGGACTTGAGATGCCTCACAGATTTGAGATGCGTCTTCCATCTTCCCATATTTAGTAAGGTTGTTTACATTGCAGTTCTTAACCCGACTCTGATACCATATTAAATATGCTTGAATCTCAACATATATCATTCACCAATGGATGCACTCTAGGGCTAGTCGGCATCACTACAAGAAATATATATACAACAACGTCCATTTCAAAACAGTGTTTTAAAAGACTGTGGTGACATCTCGAATCTGATGCGTCTTTTTTTTTATATTTATTTTTAAATATACATAAGTGTGATATCATTAGGGTTCGTCATTCCAATTGTTGTGATATATTTCACTTTTCATGGGTTTGAATCTCAACGCCAACTTGTTATTTCTTTAATATTTGAATTGCACATTTCTCTTTTATTTATTTTAAATTAAAAATAAATGTGATACTATTACAGTTGTTTATCTCAACCATGGTGATATCATGTGTCTTTTTTATTTTTATTTATTTTTAATCTAAAATATTTCAGATATCACTGCGGTTGTGTAGAACAACAGCTGTGATAGATTTTTCATTTTACTTTTATATTTTTAAATGGTTAAAGTCTTACGTTTTTTTATAAAATTTAATTAATAAAATAAGATATCATCACGGTTGGTTATTGCAACCGTGGTGGAATGCAATGTTAATTTACAAGAAACACAACTAACTTGTCTCTTTAGTTGTCATATTTTCATTTCCAGAAACATATTGAGTGAATCAAAACCTAACACATTCAGGGAAACATTATGATATGTTAGGGACAAAATTGTTGATATATTTGTAGATAATTGTGTCCTTGGCACTCTGTTTTTTATAATTAATAGTGTTTAAGTTTGTAAATAGATGCAAATAAGCAATTATATAGCTTTTGAGATACATCACTTTGTTTACTTAGTTTTTTGCTCATTTTGTAGGTTTTGATGTTGGGACATTGGTGCATTGGAACTTTGGGCAAGCTAGAGCTAAGAATGTGGTGCAACAAGTCAAAATTGCAAGTTTTGTTCAGGCTAGCGCATTAAGCGCAAGTTGCAGCGCGCTTTTGGTGTTTTGCGCATTTGGCAGAATGACTATTTTTTTGGTCCTACTAAGCGGCCTCGTCCTGCTTAGCGCGGTCCACTGAAACATAATTAGTGATTTTCGCGCTGAGCCCGCTTAGCGCGCCGTGGCCGCTTAGCGAGACTCACTTTTTGGGCACTTGTATAAATAGCCACCTTTGTGATATTTTGGCCATCAACTCTTGTACAACATACACAAATCAGATTTTTAGGGTTAAGAAACAACTTTTATCATTTTGTAACTCAAGATCAAAGATTTCTACCTCAAATCTTTGATATTTTCTTGTTGATGTTCATCAAGCTTCATACTTTTCTTGTTGATCAAACTACCATGGTGATGGGTAGCTAAATCTTCCTTTGTGTCAAGATTAGAGGTAAATAATCTTTCTTTTTTATGTATTTAGCTTGATCATTTGTATGTGAACATGTTGATGATAAATATATGGTGAAAATTCTTGTTTTATGGTTTATATTTGAGTTGATCATTATTGAGAAGTGTGTTCATCTCTTACCTAGGTTTTCACTTATCAATGAATAATTTCTAGACATAGTTTTGTGAGTTGATATTCACTAATATTGAACTTTTAAAGTTATCAAATTGATAGTTAGGTAGAGAGATCGTCTAAAGATCAATTTGATAAAACTCACATTTTGTTTTAGAGATGAAACATCTTGAGAGGATATGTGATTATATTTATGATTAATGAGTTCACATACTTTATTGAGAAAATACGCCTGAAAGAGATTATCGAGCCCTAATCTTGACACGCTTTTATCAAACATTTGAAACCAAAACTTTGTTTTACCTAAACTTGATATTTTGCATGAAACCGACATTTTCCGTTACTAAAACCAACATCAAACCCTTTTATGAAACTTAAGCTTAAAACGGTTATAACTGTAGAACGGCAGTAATATCACACCAATCCATGAGGAAAACGATAATATAAATACTTGTGAAAATACGTACAACAAAAGTGGCGTCGTTGCCGGGGATTGGCGTTTGATATTGCAAGCATTGCAATAGTTCTATTGTTTTAAGTTAAATTATAACATTTTAATATCTCTAGTTTTTTTCCACTCATTTGGTTAGTGTTTTCAGACTTATAAGCATCTCATATGATTTCCTTAAATTTGTTTCGGGTTGGATAAAATAATCCCATATTATTTGGTATCGAGACTAAGGATAATTTATATACAACACTCATACATCTCAACCCAACAAGGAGCTTTTTTCAAAGGACAGAGCCACTAGTTCTCTCATCCAAAGTAGACAATACCCCATAGCTGTATTGACACGGACTAGAGATTCCTTTTCCATCTTTCCATATTTAGTAAGATTGTTCACATTGTAGTTCTTAACCTGACTCTGATACCATGTTAAATATGTTTGGATCTCAACATAAAAAGCTAGCTCAAAGGGTGAAGTTGTTCTCACATATTTATACACTCAACAGTCCAGGAACCTAAGCAGTGTAGGACTTCAAACAAACTCTAACTACCAACTTCAACATCCTTCATTAGAGAAATACTACCATCCTCAATGACATCTTGTACAAAATGATATCTAACATCAATATTTGTGGTACGTGCATGATTCTTAGCCAAGTGAATCACACATTGGCTATTAGTCTCCAAATTATCTAGAAGACCTCACAACCACAATGATTCCTTCACTCATTCTATTACGACTATGAAAAATCCCACAACCAGGATGATTCTTTCACTCATTCTAGATGATACACATAGACAACTTGCTTATGGTTGTTGAATCGAATTGTCCCAAATTGACCTTTGGGTTCCTGCTACTGTTAGAAAGGAAGTAAATACTTTATAACTTCTGTGACTTCTTGTGTCTTTCTATCAAATAAAATACAATCTTGGTCTTTATATAGACCCAATGATTTCTACTATTCTAGGAAAGCAATAACATTAGTAAATACTATTATAGCCCACTCTCTCTTGGTCTTTCAACTACAATAGACTCTTGTGGAGTCTCGTAGTACTGCTGAATTCTTGGTAGTATTAATCTTATTTTCTAAGTTAGTAGTAATATTATTTTCTTGGTTGGTAGTAATATTATTATTTTCACTATGTTTATAACAACGACAAATGTGAATAAGGAAAGTTAAATAAAGCAAAATAAACAAATACCCCCTTAGATTGTCTCTTGGGGGTTACAGGAAACTTGAAAAAAAATGTTGAAGAAAAAAGACAACAAATAAGATATGAGAATTCCATGAGTCGTGGTCGCATCACATCTCCACCATCAAGACATGAGAAGTGGAAGAGAGCTTGACTAAGACCAGATGAAGAGTACACTTCAAAGGCCTCACGAGTACTGACTCTGAAAATTGTAAATAGGATTTGTTGTGCGTATGTTTTCTTATGTGTAGTTTAAATCGTTTTGGAAACAATATATATCTTATTCATGTTGTGTATGATAATCAAAATCAACATGATTAGTGGATCTGATTGTTGGTGGATACACATGGCGCCTCTTATAAACTCTTTTTATTTTCTTATTTAGATTCAGTAAATTATCTTCCGCTTCTCAAATATTTGAAAAATATTTTTAAACTCTTAATATACCAAACAAAAATTTTTAAAATCATATTTTTTCAAACCACACAATTTACTGTCTCTTGTGTGTGAAGTCTCAAGTCCAACAAATTTAATAAGAAAATTAAGAGACTTTGTATTGATAGGGAGACCGAATATGATTCTTGATTTTCGAGAGTGAATGCCGAAATACCAACCTTAAAAAAATTTAGAACAAAATGAAGAAAAAAAAGAATAAAGTGAACACTTTTATTTAATTTTTCTCTTAAAATTTTGTTTGGGTTCATTGAATTGAATAACACTGCACAGAAGGACTAATAGGACACTAGTGAAGCAGAATTAGGGAAATCGAAACAGTTGGAGGAAAATCAACGAGAATTGTATGATGGAACAACCAACCAACACTACCACCTTCTTCGTCTTCTTCTTTCACATGTTTCAGAGGGCATCAATACCCCTAACAACTTAACTGAACCACTCTTTTATCATAGACATGGAGACATTTGACTGAACTATGTTAAATTCATTGTGTTGTCTGCTCTTATTTTATTTATAAATACATTTTATGTCATTCTAAGAAACATTTTTCCCTATTGACACATGGAAAAACTTCACATATTCTCTTCCATACATTTTTCACACATTCGTGCAATCTTGCACCTGATCTTTACTAGTAAACATATAAATCTTAGAATGCTGAGTTGTCTTGTGTAACAGAATTCAGTTAGGAATTATGTTATATGGTTAGGTCTATAGCTACCTATAATCAGTTGTAACTTCACAATACAATTCTACTCTTTCAATCTATGGATTCCATCTTATAACATGGTATCTAGAGCCCCTTTTTCTGAACTCACTAGCGTGGTTCAGTCTCGCTCTCTATGGCACCTTCCTCACTGTCGTCAAACGCGACTTCTGGCAATGCTTCCGCCACTGCCGCTACAACCTTCAAATAGAAGATCTCTGTGAAAATTGACGAATCGAACTATCGTCAATGGCTTCAACAGGTTGAAGGTGTCCTTCGAGGCACGCGAATGGTGAAATATGTAGTTTCACCACAAATCCATGAGCGATTATTGTCAATTGCAGATCGCGAATTGCAAAATGAAAATCCTGTGTATGACAACTGGGAAGAACAAGACGCGTTACTATGCACACGGCTTCTTTCCACTATCTCTGACATTCTTCTTCCTCGATTCGTTCTCCTGCGTCACTCATGGCAGGTATGGGAAGACATTCATGCGTATTGTAATACGCAGATGAAAACCAAGTCACGACTGTTACGATCAGAGCTCCGATCACTTTCCAAGGGCACGCACTCTGTTTCTGAGTTCCTGGCGCGTGTTTGCACGATCGTCAACACTCTTATGTCTATCGGCGACCCTTTCCTTCTTCGTGATCAGATTGAATTGATTCTTGAAGCTTTACCAGTTGAGTATGTTCCAATAGTTGCTATTGTGAATACGAAGTCTGATTTTGCATCTCTCGATGAACTTGAATCCCTTTTTCTTGCTCAAGAAGCTCACATTGATAAAACCAAAAAGGAAGTCACTGAGAATGTTGCAGTCAATCTCACACAAGGTACTTCTCAATCTACAAATTCTCCACAAAATTTCACTGAAACTTCTGCTGTTGATCAATTCAATCCACAAGCTGGTGGTCGTGGTGGATTCCGTGGTAGAGGAGGATATCGTGGTGGTAGATCTGGAAACAGAGGTCCAGTTCACTGTCAAATTTGCTATAAGACAGTTCATGAAGCTAGTTACTGCTACTATCGTCATGTTGCTGATCCATATGCGAATTATGGTGTTCCTTCACCATATGCTGGTTATGGAGGTTATGGAAATCAACAGCATAATGTGTGGAACCATCCAAACTATCACCCTTCTCCACCTCAGTCTATGAACTATTCAAGACCTCCTCCTTTCTATAATAATCAGACTAGTGTTGCTAGGCCACAGACTCTGGTTACAGGCACAAATATCAACAACTCCTTCTACAACCAAACTTGGTATCCTCACTCTGGAGTAACTCATCATATGACTCCAGATCCTGCCAATCTCACATATGCTATTCCTCTTCCTGGATCAGATCAAGTTCAAGTAAGGAATGGCCAAGGTTTGTCAATAAAATCTCTTGGCTCCTTAACTTTTTCCTCACCATATTACCCTAAAACTTCCCTGAAACTTAACAATATCTTGTTGTTCCAGCTATTACCAAAAATCTTATCAGTGTCAACCAGTTTGCTAAAGATAACTCTGTTTTTTGAGTTTCATGCTAATTCCTGTTTTGTCAAATGTCAGGATACTTCTAAAGTTCTGTTAAGAGGCTCACTCGGGCATGATGGTCTCTACAAGTTTGACAACTTGCATTCAGATGTGCCTCAAGTCTCACCTACTGCTCTTCATGTTTATAGCTCTAGTCTTAGCTTAAGATCTAAGCATACTTTACTTTCCCCTTGTAATAAAAGTAGTGCTATGTCATCTCTTACATTCCCTACTCTGTATCAAATCTGGCATTGCAGATTAGGATACCCAAATCATGATACTCTAAAGCATGTTCTCACTACTTGTAATATTTCAGTTCCTAATAAAAATCTTCTTGATTTCTGTACTGTTTGTTGTTTTGGAAAAACTCATAGGCTCCCTTCTCATGCTCCCACTACTAATTACACAATGCCTCTTGAATTAATATTTTGTGACCATTGGGGTCCTGCACCCGTTACCTCATCTCGTGGCTATACCTATTTCCTCACTTGTGTTGTTGCATACAACAGGTATACTTGGATATGTCCTATAAACTGAAATCTCACATTTTTGAAACCTTTAAACAATGAAAAACCTTAGTGGAATTGCAACTCAATCATAAAATAAAGGCTATTCAAACAGATGGTGGAGGAGAGTTTAGGCCCCTCACTCCTTACCTAGCCAGCCTTGGCATCACACATAGATTAGACTGTCCTCATACTCACCATCAGAATGGTTCGGTGGAGAGGAAGCACAGGCACATTATGGAAATTGGGTTAACTCTCCTTGCTCAAGCAAATCTGCCCTTACAGTTTTGGGATCATGCTTTCTTAACATCCACATACCTAATCAATAGACTTCCCTTCATCTCTTAAAACAATCACTCACCTTTCTTCACATTGTATCACCAAATTCCTGATTACAAATTCCTGATTACAAGTCCTTTAGATGTGCTTGCTTTCCTTTCTTAAGACCTTATAACAGACATAAATTGGATATGCACTCAAGGGAGTGTGTATTTCTTGGATATTCTCCCACACATAGAGGCTACAAATGTCTAGATCCTAGTGGAAGGATTTTTATCTCAAAGGATGTCCTATTTAATGAGGTAAGATTCCCTTATGTTGAGTTCTTTTCCTCTCCTGTGTCTTCTCCCAACTCAGGTACTTCTGCACATACCTCTCCAAAATCCCTACCCTCTTCTCCTTATGTGCCTTGCACATCCTCCCATAATGTTCCTCAGGACCCTCACTTATCCTCTCCCATTACTGCTGCCAGCCATCCCTCTCCCTCTAAGTCTGCCTCTCCTCTTAATCATTCCAATTCCCCTAATTCCAGCAAGTCTGCATCAAATTATGGGAATTCAGTCATGTTCAACATACTGAGTCTGCATCTAATTCAAGTACATCTGATCAGTCACAAAGCCCTAGCAGTCGTAGTCATCATGCTACTTCTCATCAGCAGGCTGTGTCTAGTATTTCTGGTCATCCTAGTCAGGGAGCTAACTCTGCTCTCAGTGACAGTGGCAGTTCCTCTACCACATCTTCCCCTTCAGCTCTGCTCCTTGCTACTAGAATTTACCCCCATAACATTCACCCCATGCAAACCGGAGCCAAAAATGGCATTGTGCAACCAAGACTGCAACCCACTCTTCTCCTAACTCATACTGAGCCTACTTCCTATAAACAAGCTTTGGTTGTTCCTGAATGGCTTGCAGCTATGCAGACCGAGTATCAAGCTCTCATTAACAATAACACTTGGACCCTTGTTCCTCCACCTGCACACAGACAACCGATTGGCTGCAAGTGGATTTTTTTGAGTTAAGGAGAATGCAGACGGTACTGTGAATAAATTCAAGGCCAGACTGGTGGCTAAGGGTTTTCACCAAGTAGAGGGTTTTGATTTTACTGAGACTTTCTCACCAGTGGTAAAACCTATAACAGTCAGAACTATCCTCACTCTAGCTATCACTATTGGCTGGCCCATTTAGCAGTTGGACATTAAAAATGCCTTCCTTAATGGCATTCTGGCTGAAGAGGTTTATATGGTGCAACCCCCAGGCTTTATAGCATCTGATCCTTCTCTTGTGTGTAAGCTTAATAAAGCTCTTTATGGGCTTAAACAAGCCCCTAGGGCATGGTTTGACAGACTGAAAAGTGCTCTATTAGCACTACATTTCACTGCTAACAAATGTGATCCTTCATTATTCATGCTACACACTCCCACCAACTACACTTTGGTCCTGATTTATGTTGATGACATAATCATCACAGGCACCTCCAAAGTCTTCATTCAACAGCTCATCACAAAGTTAAATTTGTCTTTTTCTCTCAAAGACCTAGGGCAGCTGGACTACTTCTTAGGTATTGAGGTACAACATCTACCCAATGGATCTTTGCTTTTGTCTCAAACAAAGTATCTTAAGGATCTCCTGCTAAAAGCCAGTATGGCTTCTGCCAAAAGCATAACTTGCACCATGGCCTCCAGCACCAAACTTTCTAAGGTTGGCTCAGCCTCTTTTACTGATCCCACTAAATTCAGGTCCATTGTAGGAGCTCCACAATATGCTACTATCACTAGACAAGAGATATCCTTTTCTGTCAACAAGGTATGCCAGTTTTTATCTAATACCCTTGAAGATCATTGGAAGGCAGTCAAGAGGATCCTAAGGTATCTACAAAGGACTCTGCATCATGGCCTTCTCCTTGTCCCTGCCTCTCCCAAATCTCCTATTTCCATCACTGGTTTTTGTGATACTGACTGGGCCTCAGACCCAGATGACCGCAGGTCAACCTCTAGTGCTTGCCTCTTTTTCGGCCCTAATATGGTTTCCTGGTGGGCAAAGAAGAAAACACTGGTTTCCAGATCCAGTGTTGAAGCAGAATATAGGAGCTTAACACATGCCACTGCTGAAATACTCTGGCTCTAGTCACTTCTAAGTGAGCTCAAAGTCAAATATCAAGTGCCTAGGATTCTATGTGACAATCAAAGTGCAGTGGCACTTGCTCACAACCCACTGCTTCATGCTAGAACAAAGCATATGGAATTAGATATTATCTTTGTCGGGGAGAAAGTGCTCAGCAAAAGCCTTACAGTATCTCACATTCCTGGACAAGATCAATGGGCTGACATCCTAACTAAACCTCTATCCACTACAAGGTTCATTGAACTCAGAAGCAAGTTAAGAGTTGTTGATAAAGGGTCAATTAATCAACCACCCTCAACTAGAGGGGGGAATATTAGAGATACTCTTAGTATCAATTAGTATAAGCCTTAAAATGCTGAGCTGTCTTGTGTAACAGAATTCAGTTAGGAATTTTGTTATATGGTTAGGTCTATAGCTACCTATATAATCAGTTGCAACTTCACAATACATTTAATCAATACAATTCTACTCTTTCAATCTATGGATTCCATCTTATAACAAAATAAAACTAACATTGCACTACTTAAGACATCACTCTATCAATAATCAATAATCAACTATTGGCAATCCACATCACTAAAAGGCAACTCAGCAGTAACTCTCCCTCTAGTACTTGATCCTCCATTCCCCCTACGTGTGTACACCTTCTAAGAAGTGGGTTGAACAACATGTCCACTAGTATTAGCCAAAGACCCAACGTACATGTTCAAACAAAAGGAAAAGGGTAGAGGAGAAAGTTGATCATACTTTGATTCTATTGGGATAAACTCAAGTCTTTTCATTGTTTAAAGTTAGAGCCCATAAAAGGTTTATATAGAGTGTCACGTCTCACCTTATAAACCTGTTTTGTAAGGAAGTTAGACTAAACTCTAATTCTAGAGGAATTAACATCTCACCCCTCCAATTATACATGTCACCCCTTATCATGAGCAAAATTACCAAAAATTCCCTGCAAAAAACCAGAATTTTTGAAATTCACGGTTTCGTACTTGAATTTTTGTTGAAATACCGGAAATTTCGTTAAATTTACCATTTTTTACTGTGGCGTATGCATGTAACCGAAAATTTGAAATTTTCGGTACCGGAAATTTCAAATTTCTGGTAATTCTCTTCCCTATAAAATGTATAAAATTTTAAATTTCCGGTAATTGTCTTCCCTATTTCAAATTTCAAATTTCCGGTAATTTCTGGACCGTAAATGTATAAAATTTCATCTGCAAGCATACCGGAAATTTCATACATAAATGAAATTTTAGGTAAACCGGAAATTTGAAATTTCCGGTGTTACGCTAATTTCCGAAAATTTGCATAATTTCTTATTTATGCAATGTTTTTTGGAAATCGTCTCGGAAATTTGAAAATCTCCGGTATATCGCAATCAGAAATTTTGAATCATAGAAGAACATCTCTAATGAACCTCAGTGGATGATCGAAGGTGTACTGAGGTAAAATTCAGGATGATAATATTTTCGAGATTTTGTCAAGAAAGACAGCACAGATTCAATAATCAACAACCCTAGCACAAAAGCCAATAGATGGGAGAGACACGGTTCAAGATCAAAATACCAGCATTTCTAGTTCTATGATGAAACAAAGAATTAGTGCGATATCCTGAGGTCTGGGTAGTCTAAAGCGATTGAAAACCCTAGGAGCACGAGGGGATCTTTTTTTAATGAAATCAGAGGGGAAATTTTGGGGTACAACAGTCTTGCAGTTACTAAATAGCTTGTGGTTGCTGCTCAACTCATAGCTTGTGGGTTTTGACAATCCATTCTGGTCAGGTACGATCAATAACCATTCATATGAATTGATTATAATATTAGATTACATTAAATGATTATAAATTAGATATAGATTGGTTATGTTAATAAATGAGACTTTAATTTGAACATATCATACTTTGTCTTATTGAATTATGTAACATAGAGTGTTGTTGATGACATATGGACATGACCTCCCTTTCCTTTCCTTTCCATCTTCGATGTTACGTAAAAGACTAGAAAGTCTTCACTTGAAATAAAAAAATTAATATTTGGTCAACATACGAAACTTCAATTTTAGTAGACTATGCTTGTTGATTTTGTTTGAAATTTGTATCAACTAGCTAGCACATGGGAAGACTTGGAGGACTAAGCCTTGTCAATTGATTTAGAATTTGATATAATGAAAATGATCATGAGAAACCGACACAAACACAATGGAGTACCATAATAAGGTGCTAATGATATGTACTTTCTTCTTTTTCTCCATGCCCATTTTCTCTAAACAGAGCGCATTTACTACTATTGCTCCAAACCAGTTTATCCAATATAGTGATACACTTGTTTCTGCAGCTCGAACCTTTGAAGCAGGGTTTTTCAACTTTGGAGATCCACAACGCCAATACTTTGGTATATGGTACAAAAACTTATCACCTAGGACTATTGTGTGGGTTGCCAATAGAGACATCCCTGTACAAAACTCAACTGGATTGCTGAAACTCAATGATCAGGGAAATCTTGTTATTCTTGATGGCTCCAAAGGCGTTGTCTGGTCCTCCAATTTATCGAGAAATGTGGTGAAACCAGTTCTTGTATTGTTGGATTCTGGAAACCTTGTTGTGAAAGATGCAAACAGCAACAGTGAGAATGAGGATTTGTTTTGGGAAAGTTTTGATTATCCCGGTAACACTTTCCTTCCTGGAATGAAGCTGAAAAGTAATTTAGTTACTGGCCCATATAAATATCTCACATCTTGGAGAAGTCCTGAAGATCCTGCTGAAGGTGAGTGTTCATATAGGATAGATACACATGGTTTACCTCAATTGGTTAGTGCAAAGGGAGCAAGATTTCTATATAGAGGAGGTTCATGGAATGGATTTCTTTTCAATGGTGTTCCATGGCAAAGATTGTATAGAATCTTGAATTTCTCAATAGTGTTCACCGACAAAGAATTCTCTTATCAATATGAAACTATGAACAATTCAATTATTACAAGATCGGTGCTAGATCCTTACGGAAACTATCAGCGTCTTCTTTGGTCAAATAAGTCACAAATTTGGGAGGCTATAGCTAATGGTCCTGCAGACCAGTGTGATAATTATGCCTTGTGTGGTATCAACTCTAACTGCAATATTAATGACTTTCCAATATGTGAATGCTTGGAAGGTTTCATGCCAAAATTTCAACTGAAGTGGGAGTCATCAAACTGGTCTGATGGGTGTGTAAGGAAAACACATTTAAACTGTCTCCGTGGAGATGGATTTTTGAAATACACGAACATGAAGTTGCCAGATACGTCATCATCGTGGTTTGACAAGAGCATGAGCCTTGAGGAATGCAACACTGCGTGTTTGAAAAACTGTTCTTGCACTGCATATGCAAATTTGGATATAAGATATGGTGGTAGTGGCTGCATACTTTGGTTTGACAACATTGTGGACATGAGAATACATCCAGACCAAGGACAAGACATTTACATACGACTCGCATCTTCAGAGTTTGGTATTTTCATTTCCTCTTACAACTTTTTACTTTTCAGTTTTGTATATAGAATAAATACTTTTCCTTATCAGTTTTAAGTAAGCTTATAAGCCTTTGCTTTAACTGACATTTACTTCAACCATCAGACCATAAAAAGAAAAAGAGGAACTTGAAGCGTGCTGGAACTCTTGCAGGAGTTATTGCATTCATTATAGGACTTACCGTTATTATATTGGTCACATTAACGTCTAGAATGAAGCTTGGTAAGCCAGGTGAAAATTTATGATAAGTAAATCTTTAATATATACGATTTACTTAAATAGTACTCAACTAGTGTTGCAAAAAGAGTTAGTTAACTTTGATTGCTAAGTTAGCATTAAACCTCTTTAATTCTTACTTTAGGATGTAAAAAAAATTTATTTCACAAGAAGAAGAAGGAAGATGGTGACTTGAAAACAATATTTGATTTTTCAACCATAATTAATGCAACAAACCACTTCTCTAGCAGAAACAAGTTAGGAGAAGGTGGTTTTGGACCGGTGTACAAGGTAAGGTCTTGGTTACCAAGTTAATTTATCACCTCATTTCAGCAAGTTAGTACTAAAATTTCCAAAAATATTAATAGGGCATCATGGTAGATGGCCAAGAGATTGCTGTTAAGAGGCTATCTAAAACATCAGTTCAAGGAATTAAGGAGTTCAAAAATGAAGTACAGTTGATGGCAACACTTCAACACCGCAATCTTGTAAAGCTTCTTGGTTGTTCTATTCAACAAGATGAAAAGTTATTGATCTACGAATTCATGCCCAACAGAAGCTTGGATCACTTTATTTTTGGTTTGAATTTTCACACCAGCCAAATTTTTTGCTCTCAGTTATTCTCTTGCTATAATGTAGTTCTTATGCTAACTTAAGAATTTGTCATTTGTTAGATTCTACGCAAAGTAAATTAATAGGTTGGACCAAGCGTTTGGAAATTATTGATGGGATTGCTCGGGGGCTGCTGTATCTCCACCAAGATTCTACACTAAGAATCATACATAGAGATCTCAAGACAAGCAATATTCTTCTTGATATTGACATGATTCCAAAGATATCGGATTTTGGTTTAGCCAGATCATTTATGGGAGACCAAGCCGAGGCTAAAACAAATAGAGTGATGGGAACATAGTAATTTCAATTTACTTTGTGACTAGTATTGTATATTTTAACCTCCAGTTCTGCTATGTCACAACCTGTTTTAATATATTTTTTCTTACTTCATTGTTTTTTCTTGCAGTGGATATATGCCTCCAGAATATGCAGTGCGTGGATCTTTCTCAATAAAATCTGATGTTTTTAGTTTTGGAGTTGTTGTACTTGAGATAATTAGCGGTAAGAAGAATAGCAGATTTTGTGACTCTCGACATCATTTAAACCTTCTTGGACATGTAAGTATTGTATGTTTCTCTATCCTGTGAATTATAGCTGCTTTCCATATCCTTTTTTGCCTCAATAAATCGTCAGGAAGGTAAGAAATTCCAAATGGATACTAATTCACATCAGGAAGAATAGTTGAAAGTATTATGATAGAAATCAACTGATATAGAATAAGAAATAGGGAAAATCCCTTTGAATTACACTCCACTAACCACTCTTAATAATATAATAATTTCTATTTAAAAAGAATAATTGCTAAGTCGTATGAGAAGTCTAACCATACTCTGCCCCTAAAAATTCACCTTATCCTCAAGGTGGAAGAATGTATCCTCCCGAATTCCATAACTTGAAGTAGAGGGACAGAGCAAGGCATGAAACATGATAACTAATGCCTGGATCATACACATTATTTTGGGTGGTATGTTTGACCCAAAAACATAGCACGACAGCAATAGGAATTAACAGTGGTTGGATCAAATCAGAGGAAAATCCACTCTTCACCAAGGACAAGGACCTGTCAGGATCTGGCAGCTTAAGCGGATGTGGGGGTAGGCTATCCAACTTTAGATAAGTCCATCTCTCTGTGGTAGTTGTTCTAACCAGTCTCACCCTCGATTCAAACACAATACTTGCACCTTATCCATCAAATTGTTTGCCAATAACAAGAAATTTGCAAGAATCTGCCTTTGTCTCTTGTCGCTGTTCCACAATGACATTCGCGTTGAAATCTTCTGCATCTCTTTCTACTTTTGCAGTTTCTACCTCTTCCTTGTTTTTCTCTTCTGTTGTCTGAATGAGATCAGAATTTCCTTGGGCAGTTTCTTCTTGTTGAAAGTTAAATTCGCGATCATGGTCGACTCTATTTCCAATTCAAGTTCTTCTTCTTCATCGGATATAGGTAGAATGTCTCTATACTCCGGCTTAAAATGCCAAAGTAGTGCAACATGAAACGCTCGCCAACTTGCTTGTAGATGGCGTTGACTCCACCAGTGCCACCATACGAGAGCACAGTTTCTCAAGACTTTCACCGCCTCTGGAAAATTCTCACTGTCAGGTGTTCCCACTACATCAAAATGCTTCTCAATACAAATCAGCCACAAATAGGCATCGCTGCAGCCGTCAAACTGTAACATGTCCATTTCCTCCTGCGGTGAATTTCTTACTCCGGATCAGAACTGTTCTGATACCGGTTGATAGAAACCAATTGATATAGAATAAGAAATAGGGAAAATCTCTTTGAATTACAAAATGATATTGCAGAACTTCGAGGGTATGCACCTCCCTAATGCCTAATTGGCCCTTTTTCCTATCCAAATCCAAGATGATTGACTCTTCCCCTATTTATTCTAAACCTAAACACACATAAATAAATCTCCACTAACCACTCTTAATAGCATCATAAATAACTCTCCACTAACCACTCTTAATAATATAATAATTGTTATTTAAAAACATAATTGGTAAATCATATGAGAAGTCTAACATAATACTCCACATATACCTTCACAAAAATAAATATATTTCTATAAAAAAATATAAGTAAATCAAAATCCACTTTTCAGTGTTGGTTACAACAAAAGGATTGGAGAACTTAACTTTTTTTGATCAATTATCATTACATCCGTTGAAAATTTAGGCTTGAGCTTACCCTTGGTGTAACTTTGATGTGATTTTAGGCATGGAAACTATGGATTGAAGAAAGGCCACAGGAGTTGATAGCTGATATATTATATGATGAGGCCATATGTTCAGAAATAATAAGATTTATTCATGTGGGTTTATTGTGTGTACAACAGAAACCAGAAAATAGGCCTAACATGTCATCTGTGGTTTATATGTTAAAGGGTGAAAAGTCACTCCCCAAACCAAGTGAACCCGGGTTTTATGCAGGAAAAGATAATACAAATAACACAGGCTCTTCTTCACAGGTACTTTCAATAAACGAAGGTTCGATCTCATTGTTAGAGGGCCGGTAGAATGCTGCCACTGTGACACTTACACGGGTTCTATGCATAGAATACTAGTGCAGCGTATATGTATAACTTTATGTTAGTCTGATTCTAGATGAATTCCTATAGTAAAAAGCAAAGTTCAAACACTTGTTTGAAAGGAGATTCCATTTGCATCTGATATTATAAATAAATTATTGTTGCAATGTAATAGAATTTTAAAGGAAAATTTGAAAACTTACACGGGCTACTGGCTTACTCCAAATTGAACATGTGCTTACATTACCATTTCTGTCTAAAATCTCCTTTTTCTAGTTTAAGGAATGTGATTATTTATATGGAACCATACAGTTGTTGCACTTTAGATATTTCTGTTGTTGTCTGAGTGACAAACCCAGACTTACATTGAAATAGTAAGCTACACTGATATAACCACATTACACACACATATAAGCATCTCATATGATTTCCTTAAATTTGTTTTGGGTTGGCTAAAATAATCTCATATTATTCGGTATCGAGACAAGGGATAGTTTATGTACAACACTCATACATCTCAACTCAACGAAGAGCTCTTTTCAAAAGACAGAGTCGCAAGAGTTCTCTCACCCAAAGTAGACAATACCCCTTAGCTATATTGACACGGACTTGAGATGCTTCTTCCATCTTCCCATATTCAGTAAGATTGCTCACATTGTAGTTCTTAACCCGACTCTGATACCATGTTAAATATGTTTGGATCTCAACATGAAAAGCTAGCTCAAAGGATAAAGTTGTTCTCACATATTTATACATCCAACAGTCTAGGAACCTAACCAATGTAGGACTTCAAACAAACTCCAAATACCAACTTCAACATCCTTCATTAGAGAAATACTACCATCCTCAATGACATCTTGTACAAAATGATATCTAACATCAATATTTGTGATACGTGCATGATTCTTAGCCAAGTGAATCACACATTGGCTATTAGTCTCCAAATTATCTAGAAGACTTCACAACCATAATGATTCCTTCACTCATTCTATTACGACTATGAAAAATCTCACAACCAGGATGATTCTTTCACTCATTCTAGATGATACACACGGACAATTAGAGACAAGATCCCTTAATGTGTGGATCCAATAGTTTACCTTGACACTGTCAATCAATATAATTAGTGTAATTACTGTCAGCATTATTTGTTGCCTTATTTGCTTGTAGCATCTTAATTATAGCCTTAATCATAGGATCGTGTATCTGCTAGTGTTTGCTATATATATGTACACTGTGATCATCAGAACATATAATAATATTATTCTTTACCTGTCATTACATTTTCCAACTTGGTATCAGAGCACTTAAGCCTTGAAGGCTCTTGATCCATCACAAATCATGGCATCTGCTGCAGATTCAAAATCCAGAAATGATCTCCCATCCACTGTGTTTGTCAAGTTGGACAAAGACAACTATCCACTATGGAAATCTCTGGTGATCTCTATAATCAAAGGCTGCAGGCTCGATGGGCACATGCTAGGGACAAAGGAGTGTCTCGAAAAATTCATATCTTCTGCAGATTCAAGCAAGAAGCCAAATCCTGCTTTTGAAGATTGGCGGGCTCATGATTCACAACTCCTTGGATGGTTGATGAATTCAATGACTATTGAAATGGCAACACTGTTGCTGCACTGTGAAACCTCAAAAAAACTTTGGGATGAAGCCCAAAGCCTAGCAGGTGCACACACAAGGTCTCGAGTACTTACCTCAAATCTGAGTTTCACAGCATCAGAAAAGGAGAGATGAAGATGGAGGAGTATCTTGTCAAAATGAAGAATCTCGCTGACAAGCTGAAACTTGCAGTCAGCCCCATTTCCAACTTAGATCTAATCATTCAAACTCTGAATGGTTTAGATTCTGAATACAATCCTATGGTGGTCAAGCTATCTGATCAAACTAGTCTCACTTGGGTTGATCTTCAGGCTCAATTATTGACCTTTGAGAGTAGACTTGATCAACTGAATAGCCTCACCAACCTAACTCTTAATGCTTCAGCAAATGTTTCCAACAAAACTGATTATAGAGGCAACAAATTCAACACAAACAACAACTGGGGAAGTTCCAACAACAACTGGAGAGGCTCTAACTTCAGAGGTTGGAGAGGAGGCGGAGGAAGAGGAAGAATGTCTAAGCTAACATGTCAAGTTTGCCACAAGGTCGGGCACACAACAGTAAATTGCTACTACAGATTTGATAAGTCTTATTCAGCAGGCAGTGACAGACAAGGGAAACACAATGCCTTCCTAGCCTCACAAAACCCTCTTCAAGATTATAATCGGTACATTGACAGTGGTGCAAGCAATAATGTGACACATCAAACTGACAAATTCGAGGATCTGGAAGAACATCATGGTAAGAACTCTTTAGTTGTTGGAAGTGGTGAAAAACTGAAGGTTGTTGCCACAGGTTCCTCAAAACTAAACTCACTTAACTTACATGATGTCTTATGTGTGCCCAATATTACCAAAAACCTATTAAGTGTGTCGAAATTAACTGCTGACAATAACATTTTGGTTGAGTTTGATGCAAATTGTTGCTTTGTGAAGGACAAGTTGACATGGAAGATAATCCTAAGAGGAACACTTAAAGATGACTTGTATCAGCTCTCAAAGACTGAAAGGGACCTGTGTGCTTATGTATTTGTCAAGGAAAGCTGGCATAGAAGGCTTGGTCATCCAAATAATAAAGTCCTAGATAGAGTCTTGAAAAATTGTAATGTCAAACTATCACCTAATGATCATTTTAACTTTTGTGAGGCTTGTCAATATGACAAAATGCATTTTTTACCCTTTAAAAACTCTTCCTCTCATGCTAAAGAAATCCTTGAATTAGTTCACACTGATGTCTGGGGACCTGCACCAGTAACATCTTCTTCGGGTTTCAAATATTATGTTCACTTCCTTGATGACTTTAGTAGATTTACCTGGATCTATCCTCTGAAACGGAAATCAGATATTGCACAAGCTTTTACCTAGTTTAAAAACATTGCAGAAAATTTGTTTAATAAAAGAATTAAAACAATCTAATGTGATGGTGGTGGTGAGTATAAGGCTGTGCAAAACCATGCAATAGAAGCAGGGATACAATTCAGAATGTCATGCCCTTACACATCACAACAAAATGGTAGGGCTGAGAGAAAACACAGACATATTGCTGAATTTGGCCTGACATTACTAGCACAAGCCAAAATTCCCTTACACTATTGGTGGGAAGCTTTATCCACAACAGTTTATCTCATAAACAGACAGCCATCTCTAGTCACTCAAAATGAAAGTCCTTACTCACTACTCTTTAGAAAGGAACCTGACTACAACTCCCTAAAACCCTTTGGGTGTGCTTGCTATCCCTGTCTCAAGCCCTATAATCATCACAAACTGCAGTTCCACACAACCAGATGTGTGTTCTTGAGCTATAGTAACTCCCACAAGGGATACAAATGCATAAACTCTCATGGAAGAATCTTCACCTCAAGACATGTTGTCTTCAATGAAGAACACTTTCCATTCCATGATGGGTTTCTCAATACAAAAAGTCCCTTGAAAACACTAACTGAATGTCCATCTGTCTCTTTTTCTTTGCC